GTTGTAGGCCTAAAGTGATTCTTAAATTTTACAAATATGTAGCCATTATACAACAAATAAAAGTCTTGAGTCATTCTAGCTAGGCTAGTTATGGATTCCAAATCCAAAAACAGAGAAGTCTCGGTGAAAATTGGATAATTTAATAGTGCGTGAACAGATTTGTTTGCTTTCACCACCAACGCTGCTGGCTTGCTGGTCCTTTTTCTCTACTTATCACATTCACACTCTCCATCTCACATCAACACATTTTCCTATTGTTATAGTTATGATGCACAGTTCATTCCATTCCACTTAGCATGTTGACACACATACCTAAGACCTGCGGCAATGCAACGTTACCCTACCCTTACCCAATCAGAGTGAGAATAATTTGGACCCAGCCCCACTCGGGTCCAAGGAACTGAGTGTAAAGAACTTTTTACTTAACTCTTGGCACTAATTATAATTGGCTACTTTGGGAATAAAGCACAAGGCATGATAGACTTGTTGATGTGTTAGTTAAGGAAATAGGGTCACATGTTTCATCCAAGTATTCCCCGATATGTGATCTACAGCCGGATATTATCATTGTTAATGAGAGGAAAGTGTCTGTCCTGAACATGGGGTGTTATGTTTAATTGCAGTGTGTAATAAAGGTCCTTTGCCAAGAGAGATGTAGTTTTGCTGTTTGAATTATGAAGGCCACATCTGGAGAGTGTGCTGCTATTTGTATATTGTATTACAAACATTAAAAAACAAGTGCCCAACAGAGTTTGTCAGAATCACTGTCTCTCTTCAGCTCGTTACTTAAATAATTAATGTTTTGAACTATGTGCCTACAGGTCCATCATGACAGATTTGTACTACCTCAGCCAGGCGGACGGAGTGGGCGAGTGGAGAGTGAAGGAAGCTAAAGACCTGTCGGATCTCGTCCAGAACAGAATCACCTACCTACAGGTATCTACAGATACACCTGCTGCTTAGCCAACTGGCCTTGTACTTTCTCTTACACACACAAACGGAGTCATACACACACCCACATGCAAACGCGGTAAGCATTTATTCGAATGTTTCTCTCACACATGCAAACCCACATATGCGTTTTTTTAGGACATCTTTCACACTTGCTTGTCTCATTTGCACCATCCATAACTGTCAGCATCAGATTCCACGGGGAGCAGGTGAGGTGTGTGATAGCAGCCTGTTTCAGCAGTCGGATCTGACAAGCAGGATTCTTGTTTCTTGTCAGCGGTTTAGTGACACACGCGCACACACATGCACCAAAACACATACACATGCAGACTTGCAAAATGACAGATCGACAGACACATATGCAGAAATGCAAAAATGTCTACGTGGTACAAAGACAGACACAAACACACATATTTACTCAGGCTTATATAGATGCACATATGCTTACAGCTCCACATACACAACCTGAGACCAATGACAAATCCACTCACCCCCAGCCGCCCAACTCCCCTTTCCCAGTTCTGTTGCTGCTGGGTTCTCGGGTGGGGTGGTGCACCGCGGCACCGGGCCCTGCAGCATTAATGAGCCGGTGTGTTTGATGAAGAGGACCCAGTCAGTCTGGCTGGGCGGAGACAGCACCACTAACAGCTGCTGTCACCACCGCTGAGGGATCACACCGCTCCACCAGCTGCCATCACTAATTCATCACACACACACCGAGTCGTGCACAGATGGATTCACCCACACCTACACAAGCAATTGGTGCATACGCACACATGCCCCGCCATAAGATTGATGCAAAGAGATGCTCTGTGTGTGAGTGTGTTGCTATCTCTCTCACACACACACTCACTCACACATCTATATGTACACACACAGACAGACTCCTCCCTCGTATCCTGCTGTCTCTGCCACCCGTACCAGCCTCTCCCTTCGTTCCTGGTTTAACTAACTCCATCTCTGCGTCTGTTCCATCTGTCCACTCACAACATTCACTGAACATGGTTGGCTTCTTCAGATAGATTTCTGTTGGACATGCTTTAATCTATTTTTACACAATAATCCTTTATATAGTGGTATTAATTAGTAATAAGCAAGTGTGTTTTTGGCATTTTTGCACTGCATCTCCAGAGATCAATTGTCACTCAACAAGTGTGTCCAGTACCTTAAAGTTATCATTCTTAAAGGAGCTATAAGTAGTGTTTTTATATTAACAATAGAGCACATGACTACATGTATGTGAAAGACATTCCTCATTGTTATGAACCCATAAAGATCCATCACCGGACTCTGCTGCAGTTCCCTGCAGCTCTACAGAGCTTTATAGCATCTTTCAGCTCGTTGTTTTGGTTTTCTGATCACAACTTTACTGTTTAGGTATAGTCTCACCACTCTCAGCAGAGTCATTTTTGGTCACAGCAGACTGAAACTTTAGTGGAGCAACTAAGCTAAAATCAGCAGAGCTAAAGAAATTACATCCATTACATTACTAAAGAAGAAAGACTACCTTGTGTTCTAAAACAATAATAGTGAACCTATGAATCCTCTGGATTATTTGAAATGGTTTTTGTTTTCCACATATTGTCCAGTGCGTGCATGCATCCTTTTCTGCGCATGGGTCCACAATTTGAATCCAGCAGCGGGAAAGGTCAGCAAGTCACAAATACATCTTCTATACAAAGAGGCATTTACATAATGCAAAACATTAAACTTGCAGTGGGCAAAACCTCTGTAAACCTATGCAAAACCCTCTGCCTCTCTGTCTGCTGCCTCATTATCACTCTTTCTCCCACGAAACCCACAAGTTTGAACAGCAGCAGACGGGGTCGGCCTCCACGCCACATGGTTCGTGCCACACACTGACTAATACATACATTATGTGCTCGGATGCCGAGCTCTGTCGACAGAAAAAAAAGCCCTGTCAATAGGATCGCCCCTTCTCTGAAATGACCTATGATTGGGTCAGGCCACAGGCTAGATTTTCTAAAGCATGAAAACAGAACCAGGGAGGTGCAGAAGTCTAGTTTTCCCTCAGACCACTTGAATTACAATGTAATGAAAGGTTATTGTGTAAGTTTATCCCAATCACATTGCCTACCCCAGCTTTATATGGCTGTTGCTGAGAAATGTTGCTAGCAGTAAATAGTAAATTGCTTGGATTTTCTGACAATAATATTTGAGTTTTCTCTAGATGAAGCTTCGTAACAGTTCGGTCATTGTAGATGGACAACTCAGTCCCTCTAAGTGACGCACTGTTCACATGAAAGGTGTCATAATATATGCACTACAGGTGGTTTTCCTCTAATGGAATCCATGAGAAAAATGCAAAAAACTTCAATAATCATTCTGCAACTGCCTCTATGTTCTACACTCAAAAAGCACACCGTTTAAACAGGCACTTAACCTACAGTACAGAGCGGTACTCAGAGGCCGCCTTTGTGCACGCATCTGCCGTCATTATCCTTGAACCAAGTCTCTCAACGCTTAGGAGTCATTCCAGCCTCATCATCATCAACCCTGGATCCAATGGTGGACTCCATGCCACAGGGCCTGTGCCACACATTGATCACATGCAGACATTGTGTACTCAGATGCCGAGCTCTGTCGAAAGAAAAGCTTTACGCGTGTTCTTTGTCAGGACGCCACTGTAGATTATTAGTACAGTAAGCTTACACCTATGGGGCTAGTAGTGCAGTGGCAGCCTGTAACTCCGAGGAAATACCTGTGTGGCTTGCTCTGTCAGCTCGATGGCTGCTGTACTCTGTTCATATTATTGAACAGCAGTGGTGGTAATCAGTTTTCAGCACCTAAAGGGGCCCCTCCTCTCCTCTCCTCTCCTCCTTTCATTTTTTTTTCTTATTTCCTCTCCTTGCCCCTCTTTTCTTTTGCCTCCTGCCTTATTTTTTTTTTATCCTCTCATCTCTTTTTCTCTTCGTTTCCCTCTCCTTTCCTCCTCCTCCCTCTCTTCCTCTTCCTCTCCTGCTAGTGTGTGATAGGCAGCGTTAGCCGGTGGGTGCCGTGCGGCCTGATTACTGTGAACCATCCACAGCTGCAGCAGCCTAATGAGGAAAACACTCCCATCAGCCGGTAATTGCTGTTTAGGAAGCTGGTTGGCACGAGCATTGCGGAGTCGCTCAGACCGGCTGCCGAGCGAATCACAAACGGCCCGGCAACTCATCGACAACACAGCATGTGTCACTCTGTTGGTTTCCACTTTTTTTTCTTTTTTTTATGCTGAAAAGAGAAATCCTTGTCTCTTCCCCCAGTGCCTCTCATTTGGTATTCTTCCCCTCAGACTTTGTATGATATTGAAGCTAATTTATGAGATTGGGGGCGGGGGGTATCAGAGAGAAAGGAGAATGAGCAAAGATAGAGTGGTAGAAAACAGGAGAGAGTGATGGGAAAATGGAACGAAAGCAGAAAAGGGGGCACTGAAAAGTGAGGCAATGAGAGAATACAAGAGCAACAAAAACGATTAAGGAGGAAAAGGTATTGAAGGATAAACTATATTTTTCTTATTGTCAACAATTTAATGCATCTCTCAATACTTTCGGATTCCCCCCTGTCATTGGCACTCAAGCCAACTGGTTCCTTCTGAAGACTTGAATCTTAAAAAGCTGGTCTCAAATATGTAGTTTAATTCAAAAGGCGCAGTAATTTCCTAAAACAGCTGTGCGCTGTAAAACAGGAATAATATGCATTTGCTGTGGACTGTATTCAAATACACATTAATACGTATTCACGAGTATTTACAGCAACAGCATGGTGTATGTGGGTTGCTCTCAAAATGAACTACGGTGCTCATGTTCATAGTATTAAAGACACCTGTCACCCAGTATAACAGTGGGACTCATCTATGCGTTTAATAGTGTTTGGATAACAATGGTGAAAAGAAGCTATATCAAGCTTTGACGGTACAGATGCCACAAACTATAGAATAGTGCCAGTTTTGTCCTTTAACAAGAAGAAGGAAAGAGGCCGCAAAAGATAGTCAAAGAGGAATTTGCAAGGTTATCACAGAGAGAGAAGAGAATAAGAAAGTGACGGGTAAAGAGAAAAGGGCAAACTGAGAAATAAAGTGAACAGGTGTAAAATTAGAGCAAAGCATGAGACGGACAGGCAAAGGGAACAAAGAAAACAATATCAGCCATGTGTTATTACAAGTCAGAGAGCAGGGCTTTGAGAGATACAAGACGAAGGTCAAGCAATAAAAAATGTTGAAACGTTCCTTCCTCTCCTCCTCCTAGAACCCCCCAGACTGCAGTAAGGCGAGAAAGCTGGTGTGTAACATCAATAAGGGCTGTGGCTATGGCTGCCAGCTCCACCATGTCGTCTACTGCTTCATGATCGCTTATGGCACCCAGCGCACGCTCATCCTGGAGTCTCACAACTGGCGCTACGCCCCCGGCGCTGGGGAGACCGTCTTCGCTGCCCTGTTCGAGTAACACCTGCACCGACCGGCCTCCTGGGGCCACCACTGGACACTGGGTCAGGTTTTAGGTACAACACACACACACATCACACACAAACACACACACACAACACACACACACACACATACCGGCCTCATAAGCTACACACAGTCGTAGCCTCAGTGCTGCCTGCTACGATTTTGATTGGTTGCTTAATAATCAAGCAACCCCTTGCTTTTTATTTTGACTGTCCCAGCTAAAAAAAAAAGGGTCTGCCAGACCCCTCTTTTTGTGCTGCCACAGCGAAAACAAAGTGTGAATTCCCTGGCTAAGCAGGGCTATGCAATTCCTGTTAAAGCACTTTGGCAGCCAATGTAGCAGCAGCAGGTTATTGTTCAAAGGTTTCATTGCCAAGAAATCCTGTGACTTGATTTCAGTAAACAATCCGCTACTCTGACCTGCAGTGAGTTTCTTCTTGTAGTGTCTGATAGAGACAGAGATTGTAGGGAATCATTTTTGCGGTGTTTTCCATTATTGGTTAACTCCTGAGGTCTTTGGTTCACCATGTCCTGTAAACTGAGACTTTCTTTTATCATGGACTGTCCACGACAACAGATATTAATTTCAGCGATTACAGAAAATTAACTTCTTAACTAAAGAAAACTGCATCCCTGGATTGTTGCATAAACTAGCTAAAGGGTTTTATGTTTTTACATTGAAGGCTTGTCTTACATTTTTATACACTATACATTTCCCTGACGAAAATCCACTTTGACATTAACATTTAATCTTGTGTTGAATGTAAATATTGTCCTTTTCTTAAAGCGTGTAAGTGAAAATCTACTTGAACTGACCACCCCCTGAGCATAGTCCACTACTATACTCTTGTGTATGAAAGACACAGACATTTTAAATATCCACCAGTGGAGGCCTCAAAGGAGTATAGACATCTATTCAAGGTCTCGGCATGTAATTAGCCCTCAAACTAAACTTCCTCGTACATATTTCATGTTCTCACCAGTACCTTTAGCAGCTTGAGGCTGCTGTCAATTTTGGTCACCACAAGGAAGGTTAGAGGCAGGGTCCATTGACCATTAGGGAAACAGGCTCGTGGGACGGGAAAAGAGCCATAGCTACTACAGTGTAATAGGGGGAGTAACAATTAAAAATGGTAAGGTTTCTGAAACCAGGATAAGATCCAGGGGACGGCTAGGGTTCCCTCTATGTGACTGAGTTGGCTCTCCTTGGCCAACCAGGAGAGTGTCTGGGTGAGGTCCACCTGGAGAGGGAAGGACTTCAGAGTTCTACTGGTGGGTTTCATTACTACCAGCAACCCAATAGGAGCAAAATACCTGCAGAACTAATGACATTCCCATCAGTCTCAGCTGTACTTTTTGTTAAGTAGTAATTCGTAAAATTGTTATCATGATAACACACTAAGCTAAGAGGTGGTGAACATGGTAAGCACTATACCTTGTATATGTCAGCATGTTAGCATTTACATTTTAAAACATGTTAGCATGCTGATGATAGCATTTAGCTCAAAGCACGTGTGTGTTATTAGAATTCTGAGCCAGTCATGGACTGCCCATAATGAACACTATGTTCAAGCATGCAGTAGTTCATATGTATACCTGGTACCAGAATACCTTAGACCGAAGATCGATGTGCTTGTTGGGGGAAATGGATCTCCCTGCTAATGCAAAGTTAGTAGATTCATTATGAATGAGATTGCATATAGGCACGAATGGAATTTGAGATTTTTAATATGATTAATGGGTAGTCCTACAGTGTAAGTGTGTTTGCCTATGCTAAGCTGACAAAACCAAAGCATTTGTAAATAAAGATAAGTGATGATTTGCAGGTTTTACAATGAGACTGTGCCATCCTCCCTCTCTCTCTCTCCCTTGCTATCAATTTCTTTCTCGTTGCCTTCTTGTTCTCATCACTGCTCTTCATTTTCCTGCTATCGCTTCATTTGACTTGTGCTCTCCTGGGCTCTCCCTTCTTATCTCCTGCTCTCCCAGCGCCTTCCTTCTCTTATTCTCCTGCCTTTCATGTGTCCTTTTCCACTATCTAATGTCTGTCTCTGGTGTCTGTCTCAGAAACAGCCTCCTATAGTTCCATATATGCCATCTGGCTGCTCACAGCCAACAGTCAACTCACTACAAACGCCACTCCTCTCCACAGGCCTTCTAGCATTCGGAATTCTAGTCATAATAAAGTTTTTGCAATTTGCAGAAGCAGTATTTTCTATTGATCAGTCTACTAACTAGCTAGGCGTAGCTAATGTAAGCCTGTTGGGTACTTGGTCATGCCTGTTTAGTTAACAGTGCAGGCAAGAACATTCCTTGGGGCACTAGACCACAAAGGGATGTTAAATCCTGGGATTAATAATTACATATACATTGAATATCTCATTAATTAGGTAGAATATTGGCCCTCGCCAGTACAATTACACCATTCTCATGTAGTGAATAATTATCTCTTGAAAACGTGCAATGGTGCTAATACAAACACCTAAATTTGCAAGTGGCCTTTTATTTTGTGGTTGGCCAGTGTTTGTTGCCTAACATGCAAATCACTTGAGATGATGAATGGTTTTGCATAGTGCCTGGATGAAAGGGAGCTTTGCACCTTTTAGGACACTAATTTTGTTTTTCCAGTCTCTGCTGTATCATTTCGTGGTAAATGCCACCCCTCCTTGGTGGTCACCTTCGCATAAAAATGTGCTTACTGCTTTGGGTATACTATAGCAATTCTTTGTATTTTTGCCTAACCTTGTGTGTATGTGTAACTGACTTTGTTGGTATTTTGTGTAGCAACCCTACCAGATTCCACCTTTCCTCATTTATTTTTGCTTTCTGTTAAGCGCCCTAGGATGTGAGACATTTATAGACAAAGAGAGGATGCATGGTATACCCATCTGTGACAGGAGAAAATATAGCTTGGGGGAAAAAATCAAAGATAGCGATAAAGTCATTATGGGACCGGCTGATTTTCTTCCCACAAATGGGAAAAACATTACCAGAATATCCACATAACACACAAGCTACCCTTCTATGATTTGCTTCGTGTCAGAAGAAATAGTCTAAAAAGAGAAAATAATTGAGAGTATGTTGATGTTACAGGAGGGGGAAAGAAATATATGTATTTTATTAAATAGCATATAATGAAAATGTTGATATAGTTGCCCGTCTCTCTTTTAGGGCTGGATATTGCTTGAGTTTTTCATACTAGTGCTTATACAATCACCTAATTTTCGGTTTGACACCAAAAACAATATTTTTTTCTATGCCTTACATTGAGAAATATAGACACATTTTTATATAAAACCCTTTTTTCATTTGACCAAAGAAGCCAAAGTTCTTAGCTGTTAATAATATATTGTCATCCAACACAAGCAATTATACAAAACATTGCCTTAATACAACTTGGCAAAAAATTGGCAGAAATGGGGGTTTAATTTAGGAATTACAACTACAAATCTGGCATTCACTGCCAGTTTTTTAGAACTTTACAATTTTAGATTTTAAGCACTACAGACAAATTTCTGTCAGTGTTAAAAGAAAAGAATGAGATTTCAATACCCATCCCTACTGTCTATTTAGCCGACTGATGCATGTTGCTGTTTTACTCCAACTTTTATGTTCAATGGACAGCATGAGAGAGCTTAGCACCATCTCGCAGGCCTGGTATAACGAAATTCTGAACACACAAATGGGAAACCAGTCTTCTTGTGGAACAATGGTTCGTTGATCAAAGAGCTAATTTGCCAAAGAGAGTGTATTCCTTTGAGGTTCTCTGTAGAGATATTACTGCCTTATGAGTGAGTCTGAGAGCAGCAGGAGAAACATAATGTTCCCTGCCATGTAAAGACTGGAACAAGAGTTCTCCAAGTTCATAAACTCAGTCTCAAATGTATTATGAATGGAGAGGCTCCGTATTTTGTGTCTAGATGGTGTCACTTTTGGTTCTCCGGTTTCATAGCTGTGTTAATCTTATGAAATATTTATTAGGCTCAGTATACATCATAGGCTTAAAATACAGTGTAGGAATTCTGGGTCAATGTAGGCCTATATGCTTTAAGTCAGGATGCATACAGGAAATTTATGCAGAGGCTTTGGAGTTGTGATGAAATTTCGAAGAGCTTTGTGATCTAATTAAGTAGCTGTGGGAGGAAGACATACTGCATATCTGTACATTTGTGCCAAGAAGTGCAGGCCTCAAAATATGCCCATTCCCCCTTACGTGAATCATGCCAATGCTGTTATATAAGCAAAGACAGGCCTGGGAATATTTTTTCTGTTCAATATTTAATGCTTCTACCAATTTATATTCAGTTCATGCTCAGGCAAACACACACACAAATTGAAGCTTCTGTTTCTGTCCTTGTTTTTAACATGTTTTTTTTATGTACCCTTTCTGTGAAAGGCCATTTCTAATGACTCATTATGCCATTTATTTGGAAGTGCGTTGTGGATGTGTTTGCAGCCGTATTAGGGCCTGTCTGCAGCAGTTAGAGAAGCCACTTTAGTCTGACAGAACACAGGCCTCAAACTTGTTTTTTCGTAAATCAGGGGTTTACACACGCACACACGGACAAAAAAAACTCTCCTCGGGTTTTAAGACTGAAAGAGAGTGAAGGTTTTGTCTGCCAGGCATATCCCTTCTGGTGAGATGAGATTAGCTGGGGCTCTTTGTATGTATGTGTGTCTGTGTGTGTTTGTGAATGTGCATTTCTTTTTATTGTTGTTTTATCTGAATCTTCATTAGTCACTGTTAGATGCTCTTTTTCTACTATTCACAAGACCCCATACATGTGCATGTACATGTTCATGTGTGTTTCCATGTACATTTCTCAGAGTGAATAGGGGAAGGTTATATGTGTGTTTGCAGGCTTGTGTGTGTGTGTTTTTTCACTTTTGTTCACACATGCAGGTGTGCATCATGCACATGTGTCTTTGTGTATGGACAGTTGGCCTTGATGTGTATGGAGGTCTGGCAGTGCATGGGGGCTTTCTGCTGCCCAGAGAGGTGACCTTCGTAATCAGTCATGCTCAACCTCCCGCCCAGGGCTTCTGCCAAGCAGGACTCAGCCTAAAGGGGCCAATGCCAGACCATCAACCACCCAATGCCTCCAATCCAGGTCCTTGCATCAGCCCCTGGCCCTACACATCCTTGATAGAAAGGATCTTACCTTGGCCTTTAAGCAAGGACAGGCAAAGAGCAGCTGTCAATCACAAAAGCTGGACTCACAGAGGTTGGAGGATTTGAATTCATGCTGGAAACCTAACCGAAATGAATATAATAGGGCTGAGGAATAATCTCCCTGCATCATATTTTTATTTTTCACAGAGTATCATAATATATTGTAGTTTTGCCAATAAAAACAAGACTGAAAAGCTCAGTTAACCTACAGATGTTGGTCAGTTTTATCCATTATTCAACAGATTTGACCAATTTGACAGAAAGCTATGCTGACAATATAATTATATAATATTGTATTTATTGTAAAATTATATACAATATAAGGTGTCTTACCTGAACAGGTAAACCTGGTATTCTTCAGAACTAAACATAAGGCAGTGACTTTCCTAATTGTACACACACACACACACACACACCCTCCCAAAAAAACTTCAATGGGTGTGTAAAAAAACTCATGAAAGGCCATATTCAGACCAACTTTTAGCCCTGCATGAAAAACAGACAAAAAATTAGAACCTGCCTTTTCAACCTTTGCTGGGCAACAGTGTAATGTCATCTGGCGAGGCGCTGTGTTGGACATTGCTGACCCACGTGGTAAATTACTTTGTAACATGAACGTTTATTTCTATTGTTTACCTTGCAACAGTCAAAACAAAAGATTTGATAATTGCAGCTGTAATGACTTTCCACAGTTTTAAAATCCTGTCCTGAGTATTATAAGTCACTTTGCAGTGTTGTGTTGTGTGATAAGCAGTCAAAATCAAGGATATATTATTCAAACCAGCCTTCCTGGATCATATTTCATGTTTCACCTGTACCTGCATGGGGGTAGCATGTGAGCATGTGAGCATTTGCTGCTTTTCTCTGTGTTGTATCATTATAAATGGGATTTATTGGGGTATGAACTGTTGATTGGACCAAACAAGCAATTTTAAGTCATTATTTTGTGCTCTAGGGAACAGCGATTGGCATTTTTTACTAGTTTCTGACATTTTATAAAATAAACAATTGGTTAATAGACAAAAATATTGTTTGCATTTATTACGATAAACATAATAATTAGTTACAGCCCTAAGCTTTAGCTTTAGCTTTCATACATTTTTTAAATTGAAGTATTGAATCCTGAGTGTCTTATACTCAACATGCTCCTTTTCTGACCATCCAGGAGAGGCCCATGATAAGGACGTCCAAGTTGTGGAGTTGCCAATAGTGGACAGTCTCCATCCTCGGCCCCCCTACCTGCCCCTGGCGATCCCAGAGGACCTGGCCCCGCGCCTGCACCGTCTGCACGGCGACCCCTCCGTCTGGTGGGTGTCCCAGTTTGTCAAGTACCTGGTCCGTCCACAGGCGTGGCTGGAGAAGGAGATCCAGCAGAGCACCGCCAAGCTAGGCTTCAAACACCCCATCATTGGGTAAGGACACTCAGCTATCACATCTCACTGTGTATGGCTTTGTCTTCTCCTTTTTCTGTGCTTATAAACACTTCACTAATAATGACTTTGTTTCTATAGCATATCTCTGCAATTACGTTAACAAAGTGCTTCACAATCAAGGCAAACAGGAGGCATAGGAAGAAGAAAACAAAGACATAGCCGTAAGGGCTATGGGGGAATACAAACACTGCTTTGGGTGAGGTTAATACGAGGTTAATACAATAGTATTAAAAGTAATTTAAAGTGATGCTAGTGTTTTGTTTGGTTAATTTTCTACCTTTATTTATGCTTGGAAAGCTTGTTCATTACTTCACTTCTTTACAGCTCATATTCATGCAAAACAACTCGTTTAAAGAAATGTAATCATTCTGTAGTCATCACTCAGTATTTTCTGATAGTGGTGGTATGATATGTCTGATTCTGCCTTGCTTAATGTATTAATGTTTCCACAAGATTTATTGGTCATTAGTTAAGGGGTTCTCAAACTTAGATCTGCATCTGATTTTTATTCAAGGTCAGACGTCCGGAGCCATTAGTGAAAACAAAATGACATTTAACCACCTACATTTCTAACCAACAACACTTACACTTTGAATGTAGGAAATGTGTACTGGTCAATACGAGGCACATTCTGTATCTGCGATTTCGGAGCTGATAGCAATCGTACGGTATGTTAATGCGTGAACTCGGCAGACACACATTCTCTCTCCAGCAGTTAACGTTGCCATGACAACAATGTCAATTAGGAAATAAGCCACATTAAAACAAAAAACACAACTTGTGCTTTAGGTTTTTTTCACCCGCAATTCTGTTTTTAACAACAGCAGCCATGTGCGGAGGAGGCTTATGTCTCTCTCTCTCTCTCTCTGTTTCTCTGCAGAGCATGTGCAATTGTCACTTCACTGTACAGGAGGGGGAGAGCAAGGGGAGATTGTCCACTAGTTAACCGATGGCGTCTGTCTCTCAGGCAGATAAACAATTTTTTAAAATAAAAAGTCATACTCAGAACCCATCTTGTTGGTAGAAAATGTTACACTTCAAAACACATTATATTCATACTCGCTCGGTCCAGATGTGGATCTGGTCTAGTCCCTGCTCTAGTCCAATCCAAGTCATTTTAATACTGATACCAAGTCCTGATCTGATATTGTTGTTCAAGCAGTTAAAAAGCTGAATACTGAATAGATGACTGATTTTAACATCAGTAAAAACAAACAAGAGGGAAGCGTATTACACAGTTAATGAATGCATTAAAATGAATAGCCTGGCAGCTTTTCTTTTATCTCCAATAGCCTTTGTTAATTGAGGGATAAAGCTGTCTATATTCTATATTTTTCTTTGTCTATTGTCAACAAATCCCATGAAAAGACCAAAAACAATGATTATATCCTAAAAATGACTGTCTGTGCAGCCAAAGCCTGATATAGCTTATTCCTCCATAGAGCTCCATTGTTGTCCAAAAACTATTAAAAACACATAATCATCAATCATCAGTAGGAACAAACAGGCTTGAGGCAGAGTGCCACAGACAGAGGAGAGAAGTCAATAAGTATTGAGAGACAGACTAACACATTGTTGGTTTTGGGCTTTTTTGACAATAAGAACAAGACTACAGCCACGTTAAGTTACATGCTAATGTCAACATGCTAACATGCTCACAGTGACAATGCAAACATGCCTCACAGTGACAAATGCTACCACATGCTGATGTTAAGCAAGGATAATGTTTACCATGTTTTTGCAGGTATTTGATCATAAACCAAAGACAATGGCGCTAAATTAAAAGTTAATGGATCAAACTTGTTATAACTCATCCTGAGGAGAACATGAAGGTCTGTAGCAGTTCATCCAATACCTGTTGAGACATTTCACACCACAAATGTCAGCCCTGCTGGTGGTGCTAGATGAGAGATTGGGGAATCGCCAGAGTCAGCAGGCATCACCCTCTGGGGAACATTAACTTACAAAGTGCTACTTTCCGTTTCGGCCAAAGTGGTGCACCAACAGACCGACCAACATTACAATCCCCAGAGCCATGCAAACATGTCTAAAAACAATACAAAATAATGCAATCCTTGTCTTTTAACAATCCTCTTAGAAGTGCACTTCCACATTTGAGACAAAAAGGCCTCCACAGTCTGTACAATGCACCTCAGTGTCCTAATATCTGAGTACACCTAGATATTACTTTTCATGAAATCTGGCCTAAATGGTGCAGATGAGATGATACCAACCGGTCCAAACATAGCATTATTAGGTCTGATTTCAGTCTTTGATATTGTCCTGGTTTGAATTGCAACAACTCAGCATTGTGCTGTCTCCAGAGATTCTGCTCTCACAACTTGGAACATCTTGGGTCCAGCGCAGCATAATTGGAAAAGTATTCATTAGTCAGAGGTGCTCAGTTCCCAGGAGGGCCACTCCTTGTGGGAATGTATGCAGTCACAATACTGTAAGCCACTTTTGATAGAGGCTTCTAAGAAATGGGTTGAGCATGTTTAGCTGTTTATTTTCTTTCTCTATATCCCTGTCAGGCGCTCAGTCAGCAAACATTCATGTGCTTCTTTTGACTCCTGCATCAAATACGTTGCAAATCATTTTCCTCAGTTTCTTTAAACCTACTTGGTCTAGAAAGTTGGGAGGGGATTTACCATATTATGACAATGCATATAATAACTGGTAAGCTGTTAGTCTTGGGAAAGTATATAAAATGACTTTCAGGTACTTTGCTGAGATTGTCTAAAGTTTTTTGCACTGTCCCATGAGGCTGACTCCACCCGGCTGGTAAAGAAAGTAGTTTAAAACAAATGCTAAGAGTTATATTCTAATAGTTGTGAAGTCAGCCTGGTTTAGTTCTGTCATTCCCTTCATATCCCTCACATCCGTATGTTCATAGTCTCTGTGCTCGCTTCTCGCCCTTCATAACTACTCTTTTTCTCACCTTCTTCTTAATATTATGCTGCGAGCAACTGTCGCCGTTCTTTCTTCGCTTTTCCTGTCCTGCTCTGCGTAGCTCTCACTCCCTCTTGTTACACTCTCTCTCTTTTTTCTATGTCTGTCTGTCTTTTCTCGGATGCTCTTCTCTTTGGTTTTTACCTCTCTTCCTTTCATCACCCTAGAAGCTGCCATCTCTTTCTCCAAGCCCTCTTTGACTCTCCTCCCCCTTTCTTTCTCATTTTTTTTTTATTCTTGTGACTCATCCCAACTTTTTCAATCTCCCCGTCCTCTCACATCCTCTCATTTGTGATCGTTGCTCCATCTCCATTTGTTCATCCTGCTTCATGATTTTTAAAATTTTTATATTTCACACTCACCTCTCCCTCACGTTCCCCGGGCGCACATCAGGATTCACAATTCTCTTGCTCTCATAGTGTTGCACACATCTCTGTCACTGTTCTTTGTGTTTCCCCCTCTGTACACTCATATATCCCACCCTTTTTCTCCCTCCATATCACTGGGGAAAGGCTTATTGAAATGTAGTGCTGGGTAGAACAGAAGTTTTTATCCCTTTTTTTCCCCTTCCCTCCCCAGCTCTTGATACATCCACTCCACTCTGCACTGATGTTGCAACAAAGTGCCTGTGTGCTTCTACCAGCACTGTGGGGGAAGGTGATACGTGTGTATGGAAAAGTGAGGGAGGGGGTGAATGTGAGATGGAAAAGTGGAGTTGAAAGAGATCCATAGTGTCGGTGCAAGAGAAAGGCGAGAAAGGGGACAGCAGTGGGAGAAGCAGGGGTTGATGGAGAGAGTACCAAGAGGAATAGGACGGCAGCTTGTCCCCAGAGCACCCAACAACCGCCAGCCGACCCCCACATGTCTCAGTCACCGCCAGCACCCTGTCCCTGCCGCTCCCTTAGGAAGTGAGCTGCACAAAGGCTGGAAGCCATAGACTAAAAAGCAGTTCCACCCTGCCACCATTTAAGGCTCCCTAATGGCCGTAAGGATAGTCAGAGAGAGTGAGAAAGTAGGGTTTGTGCTTCTATTGCAGATACCAGAGCGGTGTTATTGCCATGGCAATGTGGTTACCAGGAGGTGGATTTACAGTCTATATCTTTTTATAATATCTTGTGTCAGGTCAATTCTGTATGAATAAGGCTTACAATATATTGTGTATTATATACTTTTTTTAAATCACAGAATCTCAGAAAAATATCTTTTCAAGAATCAGTAAAACAAAAATGTAATAATATGATTTTAAAAATACAGTTTTCAGCAGAAAATCTGTTCATGCTTTTTTTTTTCCCCCCTAACTTAAGAGCCGCTGGTGCATAATAAGCAACTAATTAGCATTTTCACAATTTTTTACTCACTTTATATTAATATCATAAAATTTTCTGAGCTGTTGCTTGTTGCAAGAGAGCCTCATTTACAATAAACTGCAGTAGTTGGCATCTTCTTGCAGCAGGAAACCGAACAAATCACTAAATGAAGTAATTTGGTCTCCACCAACTCCTGAGGGAAATATCTGGCTGTTAGTTGTTCCACTATGATCACCAGCTAGTCACAAACTTTGTCTGGCAGCAATTTGGCACTGGGGAGGTAAAATACAGAGAGATTTTAGAGGGTTTTTTTTTTTTTATGAAAACAGCTGCCTGCTGCGTGTGTAAATGACGTTGATCAGAGTTGTAAGAGTGAACCAAAACAATTACGTTTTTGGCCTCCAAATCAAAACAGTGATCCGTAAGAGACGGACTGCGAAGTCAATGATAATTCTTCATCACTATTGATTATTGCAGCTTTAACATTTTACTTGGATCTCTACTTCCACTAGTATCAAATAACAGGTTTGAATTGGGTAATTTATTACTTAAAGCATAATTTAAAACATATGATTTTATATCTATATAAAGTATCATACTGAAAAAGGGGAAAAAAAATTCTATGATATATGAGTATTATATTAAAGTGGAGAAACGTAGAAAATGTGGACACTTACATACAAGGCAGGTTTGTATATGACCATAACAAACACTAGATCTCGATCCAGTTTATCACCTGTGAGACATTTCAGAGCAACGTGTTAGATGGTGCTCTCCATCACCATCATCAAAACACCAAATGAGATACATCTTTTAGAAGAACGGTGTTAATACCTCCAGTTCCACCGACAGTCGGTGCTAAAAGCACTGAAGGTGTTCTGGGGGCTCTTTGTGGCCCAACACTTTATTAAGATTTTGTTTGCCTCTCATTACATTTGTCATCCTTCGTAAATATAAATCCTAAGAGCAACTTTGACTTGCTTTTGATGTCAAAGTACATGTTGCTTGAGGAGTGATTCTGCAGTATAGATGTAATATGGTATGAGTGGTTTTCTAAAGATTAAAATGCTAATGGCAGCTTTGGTATATTTCGAAAGCCAAGTGGCCCAGAGTTCCTGTATTCTTTGTCATAGGCAGCTGAGGTCATTGTCAAACAGAAAAATGTATTCGGTCTATAATCTGCCAGAATCAGCACTTGCTCTATCTAGTGTGGGTGTGTTTGATGTCTTTAATGTATCCTTTTACACCCACCATGAGGATTGCCCTGCCTTGCCAGTACTGTATGAATAGAAAGAAATGAATTGAATTATTGTGGCGGTAGTGTGGGAGAGTGCTGGGAGTGAAGGAGGGAGGGAGGGAGGAGATGGCTAAGAGCTAAGCAATGTCTCAGTGCGGCCTCTGCTGCTCTGCTGGAGAGAAAAGGGCAAGACAAAAAGAGGGTTCACAGGAACAAAAAAACAGTAGACATGAAAGAAGCGAGGAAGCAGGAGAGAGGGACCCTGACAAAGGTTGGAAAATCCTGGAGTCGAGACCTCTTTCTGATCAGTGAGACGGAGCCGAATGAAAGACTCCGACACCCCTGGCACCCACTCATCCACTTGTTCACACTCCATTCTTTGGGTTTTATTTGCCACGTAAATAAAGGGTCTATTTCTCCGGCGAACATCCCCAAAAGTCACTGATTGATGCAAGTGGTCGAAATTAGGTACAGCCTGTTTATTCTCCTTCTCTGAACCTCTGACTCTTTCTGTTGTACTTTTTTTACCTCATTTTCAAAAAAAGAGGTAGAGGCAGCCTGGAGGTGAGAGAAGCTGTTTGAATCTCTAAAGCAACTGGGGAATCCTGAATGGAGACTAATATTCTTCACTAAAGAGTGCTTAAAAAGGCTCCTGACCCCAGATGTTTCAGTGGAGCGGCTCCTGCGTCAGCAGTAGAGAGCTGGTTGTACTGGGCTGCTCTCAGATGGAACTATATGAATCAATACGTGAAGGTTGAACATTTTACTTTTTCCTCTTTGATTTTTACATTTAATTCGTTCCTCAAGGCGAGAAGTCACAATGCAGATGTGGTTGGGTAGTTTTGTAATTGAATAGTTCTGGATGGAATGAAATTGCGTTTTCAGCATCCATCACTTTGAGGGATGCTTCTCTGTCAGGAGAGGAAATATTTCCATTGTCGCCCATCCTTTGTTCTGTTTACAAGTTGTGCTTTTTTTGTCATATGTACAGCTGGTGACAGCACTCTCTCTTTGTCCTTGCTTACTGGAAGCGATGACAAGGACACTGAAAAAAATACAGCTGTGTTGGTTATTTCTCTGTCTGTCTTTCTTAAACTTCCTCTCTCTGTCACCGTTTTCTTTTCCCTTTTTTTCTTTGTCTTTTGTCCCATGATTTTTTGTTTTGTTTGCGTTTATACCAACAATGGAAAGGTTCCCAAAATATGCCATTCAAGTTGAAGTGCCGTTTCTTTTGCCGTTTTTTACTTTGACAGAAAAAGAACCACTGCTGTGAACCACAAGAAAGACTGTAGAGTTAAAAATAGGTTCTCTCAACAAGAATAAAAAAACAAAATAAAATGCCAGTACATCAACAGTAAGGTCCTCAGTGTTTATCAACAGCCAGTGATGTTCCTTCACCTTGTTTTACCTCATTAAGATTAATTTGTAGATCATCCACTCTTCAATATCATGCTTTAGGACAG